AATCTACTTGGTCGTGGCTCAATATTGTTAAAACAAGATGGCTACGGCGACGACGGTACCTCGTTAGAATTTCAAAGCTTAAAAAAGGTATAAAATAAGATATGTGTCATATATACAGCTAATAACACGTCACTTTGAATCCAGCAATTAACGCTAACTAGTATCATTAATCATGTCGAACTAAAATAATTACCTCGTATTAAATTTATCGAAGAGTAATCCGTAATTATTAGAGATGGGCCGAGTACTCGGTAGATACTCAACCGAGTACTCGCCCATCTTAATATCTTCGGTACTCTTCGTATTCGCAGGTTTTTATTGTGTTTGATAATATACTTTGTTTTAAAAAAAGAAATATATTTAGATATCATTCAAACAACAGTGCTTTTCCAAAAGTATTCATTAGTAATTTGGAAAATCTTTGTAAATCTCAATTAATAAAATCAAATCTATACCAATCAATGAGTAGTAATCAGACAAAATTACGAGAAGATAAGAGCGACCCGACGTCTTGACCAGCGCGAGTCTGTTCGAACTTGTTTCGCGCGCGAAGTGGGAATTTGATTGAACCGAGTTACTCAGACAGAAGAAATAAAAAGAGTACTCGGTTGAAAAAAAAATTGAGCCTAGTAAACCTCGGTACTCGTTACTCGCGAAAAGTGTAATTCGACGCATCTCTAGTAATTTTACAAGCTAATTTGACATTCGAAAAATAGTAAAATAATTTAAGTACAGTGTCAATTTTATTAAATCTTATCGCGATAGACGCGTGCCATTAATTTTATCTTATTATTTAACAGGTGTAAAGTCGTTAATCAGTGTTTCCCCAGCTTTTTTAATTTAGTCACTCGAGCTTTCATAATAGAAAATATTATTTATGTTTTCTTTGCTAACCGGTCATTGCTGCATAACTTGTGTGAAATTTAAGAAATTCAATTGTTTGGTAATAATTTAAATGCCTTTGTTTATTTGCATCGTAAATAAATCTCAATAATGAAGCAAAATTTAATTGAATTCCTCTTAAGAACTCCAAAGATATTACAATTTGCGACTGAACACGGTAGCTCAATAGAACAAAGCACGCACGCTAGGGACGTGGGTTCGAGTTCCACGCATAAAATAAACAATCTTAAAATTTAATTAAAGTTTTAAAATTGTTAATACTTTTAGATTGTTTACCTTTTTTATATTGTTAATTTATTCAACATTTGTTAATATTGGTGTCTATGTGTTTCGAGTATCGGATAAAAAAAGCCGACATAATGGCTTAACTTTTATTTTAATTGTCTTGGTGTACAGAAGTTGTACTGTGGGGTTTTAGTCGGTTTAAGTCCAAGATACCTATTTGCGATTTTTATAGAGATCCGGAAGGATTTCCCACATAAAGTATAATGATATTTCACATAAAAAAAATAACTTTATCCAATATGCAAAACCATTTTGTTAAATGTTTATCTACGTAACCGGCGCGGGCGCCCATAGAAAAGCAAAAATATAATCATTAGTTATAGTCAGTTAACTGGTTAACTTATGCGGGTTGGTCCACTCACGTTTAATCCTAATTAATTGGCTATTAGTCGGACGTTTTCAATTACCACCTCTTTTGATTTACACGCAGCCGATCAATTGATCAAAGCGCCAAGATTATTATAATCGGGTTTCCGGAGAAAAAACAATTGAATTATGGTTAAATAACTAATTATATGATTTAGGTGTTTAAATGTTTTTTTTTATAATTCTAAGAATAATAATAAAAAAACATTATTTTTTAAATATTTTTTTTCAAAGTTTCAAATAACATACATTCTAAATTTGAGTGGAGTGTTTCGAAGGGTTTTCTTTAGCTACCTTCTATAAGTACGTAATAATATTTTTTTGTTTGTTGCTGTTTAATTTACCTAATCGTCTAATACTTACACATTACATTTTAAATAGTTTGGTAAAATTTTTTTCCGCATACAGTTACAAAGTCAATGTGTTAATAACAATGTTCTTAAGATTAACATTGTTAAAACGCCATTTAAAATTGATTTTAAATTGTTGATTTAATTTTTCACTACGACCCGACGGGTCGGACGCTTAACAGCAACTGCTCGGCTAATTTATTTACATATAATGTGTAAAAGAGAGGCAAACAAGAAGAATATATATTATCATCACAGTATTTAGTACTAAAAAGACTAAGCAACTATAATTTACAAATTCTCACTTAAAAGCCTACCCACCATAGCCATAATCACCTAATGACCCTTCCAAAATAGGTAATCGGATCTCATAAACCGTATTTTAAGTAGAAGCCAATTTGCATGAGAATTAAGACATAAAATATAAATAAAAACAAACAAATGTTATGTTAGTGGTTTGAAATTTAATTTAAATTTTTTATTAGAGTATAAAACTAAATTATTGATATTACGTGAAAGTTTACGTCTCTTATGTTTGTGTAACATTTTAGTATTAGACGGAGCAAATCTAATTATTCGAAATTATTTAATTCAAAAAGCCAATAGCAAAAGCCAAGATATACCGACATCGCACCTTGTTAGATGTTATATGGCTGGGGTATTTAACAACATGCTTATCTTTTGAATAAAACACTTTAACGGTTTAAAACGCGATATATTAGTTAAACTCACCACGGCTGCTGCAAAGCATCCGAAATGTCGGACCGAAGTTAAAAATCATTTTTAAATAAGTTTAACTAATATAACGCGTTTTAAACCGTTAAAGTGTTTTATTTAAATGTGTACTACTCGCGTAAACTATAGACAGTATTTAATCATGCTTATCTGTCCTAAGCTGTCTTAAAAAAACATTTAATAGTCATTGAAGCCCACCAATCCGCTCTGGAGCATAGAAGCATATGCCAGCCATGGGATAGCACAGGTAGATATTACTAAACGAAACCGGCTCGTTGGTGTAATAGTAGCAATGTATGGCTTATAAGTGCGTTCGATCCCCGCCGTGAGAATGTTAGAATTATTCTAATCAATTTACAAATTTTCTGACAAATGTTGTACTCTTGAAAACCTTGATATAAATATGAAATGGGTGTTAGGAATATCAAAACTTTGTCCGGTATCAACGTCTAAAAATGACAAAACCGGCAAGATTAATTGCGTTCCAGTTTAAGTCTGTGGATTTCCGAATAACCAAAGTTTAAAAAGGTCGATAGCGCATCATGGTTAGGTATTATCTGGCTAGGGTATGTCACTTTCCATCAAGTGAATGTCATTCTTGTTTGTCGTCCTCTATTAAAAAAACAAACACCGAACGGCTATAATATTGCCCCTCTTCATGTAATCGTGTTTTTGAGTATTTCTTCGGACAATGGATTTACTATAAAATTGTAGGCTTTAAAACATACACAGATATTAATAGCAACATGTTATGTAAATACTGTCTATAGTTTACGCGAGTAGTACACATTTAAATAAATCACTTTAACGGTTTAAAACGCGATATATTAGTTAAACTTATTTGAAAATTATTTTTAACTTCGGCCCGACGTTTCGGATGCTTTGCAGCAGCCGTGGTCACGGGGAGACCTCCGTAACGTCGGGCCGAAGTTAAAAATCATTTTCAAATAAGTTTAACTAATATATCGCGTTTTAAACCGTTAAAGTGTTTTATTTAAACATGTTATGTATATAGGCGTGTAATATAAAATGCTTAATTAAAACATAAGAATTCTGTACCATACCCTACATGTGGGTGTTATCGTAACTGCGTGTCTAAATCTTCAGATATTTATAAACTCGGAACCAGTTCAAAGTAAACATTTCTACATTTGCACACAAACAGTCTTAAAGTGACGATTTGCATAATGTGTTCTGAAGATGAATCTTGCAACCCTAATAAGCTTTTAAAACATGAACAACAAGTGTATTTAAAGTTGTTTTTACTTATAAGACATTTTGTATATTATAACTCTACACAATACATAAGAAGTTAGGAATTATGTACGATTGTTGGGACAATACAATTACATTATTAAATAAATATATATGTAGGTATGCACTTTTGTTAAATCTGCAAATGTAGGTAATAGTACTTCGGCCATTTTAAGGTAATTGGTAAAACTAATCTAGACTTAGTATTAAGCCTATAGATAGTAAGTTGAAGCTTGGTTCTTCTGTGGGGCATGGGACATTAGAGTTGTCAGTTGTTGTTGTTAAACACGGAATAGATGGCGCTAGCGGAGCAGATTTTTTACTTTGACGTTAGAGACACCTTCCATCTTTAGTCTCCCCGTCACCACGGTTGCTGCAAAGTATCTAAACGTCCGGCCGTAGTTAAAATAGTTCCAATAAGTTTAACTAATATATATCGAGTTTTAAACCGTTGAAGAGTTTTATTTAATAAGTTGCATAATTGTTGCAAGCTGTAAGGGTAATACAATTAAGGTTGGTTTGTTATACTTAGATGTTGAAAATAGAGTATTTTAATATATTATATAACTCTAAAGGCGTTTAGTACGCGAACTCGAAATATACTACAATATATAAGGCAGGCCTAACTGCACTTTTATGACTTGAGTGTCTAAAAATGTTAATCTACAAGAACACAGTGACCGAACATTGTTAACATAATTCTTACACAAATATATCATTTTTCGCCTAAGCTTTGTTATTAGGCCACTGTGCCTCTAGCAGCCTCATATATAAATATTATTGTACGATGGACAACTCTAGCTGTCGCGATGACGCGTCGCAGGCGCCTGGCGTCATCAACATTAGATTAGAAGGCGAGATTATTAAAAATTAATTGACCTACACCGGAGTGATCTAAGCGCTGTACTGAAATAACTATAGCGACGCATTATCTAACTTTACTGTAATAATTAAATAGATAAGTATTAGTTTTTGACATTTTAACGGTTTAAAACCTCGGATTGGTTGCCAATACCAACTTGTGACAAGTGTCATAACTGTAAATGAAATTCTTTTGACAATTGTTGTAAATAAGTAAATAAAAATACTTTCTCATTATAATTTCAGGCTATTGGTCGTGAAGCGGTTCTCTCTGTAGCCAGCACTCGTGAAGTGCGATGTGGGAGGCGCCTCGTGTCAGGTCTCTTCGCGCGGCCAAGACTTCCTCTTGGCTACTCCTACATCACGACGGTCCCCCAGGGCGCTTGCCGGCTCAACGTGTCAGAAATCGTATCCAGCGATAATTATATAGGTCGGTGTTTAATTTAATAGCGTTTAAAATGAATGTAATAAATTTCTTTAGGATAATGCACTTACATTCTTACTACCTCACATTTACAAAGTACTTATTCACTACCTTCTTAGTTTAGAATTCGTATAAAATGTAGTTCAAATATACTATAAAGTAAGGTATAAAAGTAGCTATAGATTACCTTATTATATCTAGATTTTAGACTGTAAGAAATTAATATAAATAAAACACTAACGGTTTAAAACGCGAATCATAAACTATTTTTTAAAAAGTTTAACTAATATTTTTTGTGTCTTAAACTGTTATAGGTTTTTATTTAAATAGACTACTACGCGTAAAATACAGACAGTAAGTAAGTAGTGTAAGAAATGAAGTCCTATATTGAATAATACTTACTACAACACTATCGTTGTAGTACAAAACGTTATAAACTATAGTTGTTGCCTCCGTCGTCGTCCGCGTCCCGTCGTTGGACATTTTTAAATCATAAAAAATATATTTAGGTTTCTTCAATATTTCCCTCTGTTTATTCGCTCCCATTAAATATTACAATATTTTTTTACGAAGCAGTATTTTCTCGTCATTTTTTAAATATTAGTAAAAAAGGACAAATAAACTAATGCAGCTACCAATTTACGTGAGACCTAGCTGTGATTTCTTAAATATAATCTTGCATACTCCGCACCAAGTCCACGATCTACCAAAACTGTTTATTAAATGCAACGTTCCTATCCGAGACATTTATCTGCAATGAATGATGAATTCGAGTCGACATATACGGGGCGACGTTCATTCATTATTATCTATTCAATGGCCCTTTGATGGCAACTGGCCCGCGAAACATGAGGTTGGTCACTTACCATCATTGTCGATTAGATTGGCCGTAAATCATTCGTTCGCGCCACAATACCACCGCCCACTATGTCTGCGATCATCAATAGTTCGCCTTGCGTGGTTACTTTGAAATCAATTACAAGCTTTTTACATTTGTTGGCCAACATAATGAACTTATCTATCGGCAGATTTCATTTGCCTAATGTGATTTGTAATTGTATTGTAGTAAAAACATCAATTTACCCACATTATTTTAATACTAGCTGTGCGAGCAACTTTTTCTGCCTATAATAGTTATTTTGGGCGTATAAAATTTTAAAATCAAAATGAAAGAAAAAAATTTCGACTCGGGCAGGACTTGAACCGGCATCGTCAGCGTTCCGTGCTGTTGCTCTGCCAATTGAGCTACCGAATCCTACCTCAAAAAACAAAAAAACATGTAAAAAGAATAATAAAGTTTTCAAACGTATAAAATTTGTTTTTTCAACTTTTATATTTGTTCTCCTGTACGTAATAGGTAAACTCACGGCGTCATCCGTATCCCGTCGTTCCTGCAGTTATTCTCAAAATAGGTATATACCCTTTTGTGAAAATTTTTTTAGATCATTTAAAGAGGAATATTTTTTCATAAATATTTTTTTGTTTCTTGATTAATTAATAATTTCCCCCTTTTTCCACTTTCCCACTGTATCTTCGTTCTTATTGGTCGCTTCGTGATGTTTTATAGACTTCCTCGATATGCTCTAACTAATACAAAAATATTTTTTTCAATTCGAAACAGTAGTTCCTGAGATTAGCGTTCAAACAAACTTTTCAGATTTATTTATTAGTATAGATTTATGAGAAACGTTTTAGGTTCTCTCATAAATTATAAATCATGTTTTATCCTTACAGCCTTGAAAATCACTAATGGTTCCTATGTTATGAATGGTGAATTTGCCGTTAGCGCACCAGGGAGTTATGAAGCGGCAGGTGCAAGATTTGTTTATTCCCGTAATGCTGGATTGGATTCAGTCTTTGCAGCAGGTCCTATACAACATCCTGTTGATATAATGGTAAGTATATTGCTACCGTCTACACGTCGTTTCAATTCGTATAAACTATTGAATTCTGTAATATTCGCTTTCGTTGAATATGTGGTAGTAAAAATCAAAAACTATTCGAGTATTATTGTAAATGAATGAAGCCCTTTCGATTTTGATCGATGGATTCACGTTCAAGATAATCATAGTTTTTTATTGATACAGGAGGGCAAACATAAGGCTTGATGGTAGGTGAAACACCATAGCCATATGACATCTAAATAAGTGTCAACCAATTTATATGACGGTGTTTCATAAACCGAAGGGAATTTCAACGTTCCTACCACTCATCTAATATACTGATTTCCATCCAAAGTCTTAACGTGTTGTAGAAAAATAAGTATCATAGTTTGACAGATCTCAATTTTAGTAATTAGATAGGGCAACTTACCTTCAATTAAGTCAATTCTATGTTCGCCTGTTCTATTCTTTTTTTTTTAATATTCTTAGTAGAATTTTAAAAAGTCTTAAGGAATACAAGGTAAGGTAAGTAGTACTACCTTTAAATACTAATTGCTTTCCAGGTACTGTACACGCAACCGAATCCGAGTATTAAATACGAGTACTTCACAAACGCAATGCCTGGTGAAGTGGACATTGAGTCCATAACGAAAGCTCAAACTGATTCTCCTCCAAAACACATTCGAAGACATCACGGTTTTGATTACTCTAGAGCTAATGTACCGAGACATCCAGATGTAAGTGGATTGTCAAAGGACCTTTCTAGTGAGAATGCTATTGAAGAGAACATAGTGGGATCTAGAAAGTTTATGTGGAAGATATTGTCATATTCTCAGTGCTCTAGAAGTTGCGGAGGTGGTTTTCAGGTAAGTTATTGCATTACTGATATAAGTATGATGCAAGAGATAACTACAATGCAATATAAAAACACACTCAACATTCAAAATACTTTAGATAATTCCCTATTTGTTCTTAGGTTGGCAAATACCGTTGCGTTGAATCAAGTTCTAATGGTGATCGCGAGGTTTCTCCAGTACATTGTATAGGTTCAGCACCTCCTGGAAGACGACGCCGGTGTGGAAGCATACCATGTCCACCTCGTTGGAGGGCAGCGACTTGGTCCGCCTGCCCTCAATGTGGACCAGCTAGTAGGATACGTATAGTCGGTTGTGTCCAAGACCATTCGAAAGGCATTACGAAGGTGAGTAATATATTTCTTATGATAGTGGAGGATGAGGAGGACAGATAAGCATGGGGGGGGGGTTCACTTGATGGTATGTGAAGTACCCCAGCCTATAGCATCTAAACAAGATACGCGGTCGATTTATCTTGGCTTTTGAAATTTGGAAATCCACTGACAGAAACCGCAACGTGATTAAATTTTACGGTTGTTTTATCTGTGGACGTGTTCGTGGTCCGGACGGAATTCCGATATGACCCATTTAATATCCAGATTTCCAGACGAAGTCTAACATGTTTCAGAAAATACTGTCTGTAGTTTACGCTATGTTTAAATAAAATACTTTATCGGTTCAAATTTTGATTTAAATTAGTTAAATTTATTTGAAAATATTTTTATACCACGGGCGACGTTTCGGATTCTTTACAGCAGCCGTGGCTACGGGGAGACCCCACGTAGTCAGATGTATCGCGTTTTAAAGCCTTAAAGTGTTTTATTTAAATGTTTCATAAAAATTATAAATTGATTAGAAAAATGATGTATCCTGTGGGGATTGAACCCACATAATATTTATAAATAATAATAATATAATAAACATAATATTTAATCAAATAAGTTATATAATAACTAAGTTATATTGAACATAAGCAAATGAAGTGATTGTTATCCTGGATACCTGTTATCTATGATATATAGTTAATTTATTCAATACGCAGATCAGCGATACAAAATGTCCACCACCGAAGCCAGCGACGACTGAAGCATGTAACATTCCTGACTGTAACTCACCAGAAGCACGACCAGAATCTAAGCGAATACGAAACCAAATCGATGCCTTCAGAGATAGTCCTGTTTTTACGATAGCAGTTAACAATACTGACCTCGACGTTGGTCCGGAGTACAACTTTGGAGCAGCCGGGTGGCTTTACACAGATTGGTCTGAGGTAGTTAGATATAACAAAAATTATGTCAAATCAATGACAAATAAGATTAAGATGATTTTTTGATGATGATGTATTAAATAATTTAAATTATTTTGAATAAAAGAAATATGATTACATTCAAATGTAACTAGTAATTTTAATATTTTAAGATAATCGTATGTGTTTGTTTGTTGGTAGTGTGTAGGTTGGTGCGTAGGTGGAGGTACACAAACACGAGCAATACGATGCGCAGATCCCTCTGGATGCGTTCCCAGAAAACCTCCAGATTATACCCGAGCTTGTTCACCGAAATTATCCTGTGAAGCGCATGACGGTCATTGGTTTACAGGTATAAATATATTTCCTTAAATTTCCACCCTACTTTTGATATAACTAATAAATCAAAACTATCTGTGACAGCGACTTCATCTGCGAGAAACGATATTTTGGACATCCAAATTCGTTTTTGCAAACCTCTACATCTTTATAAACTGAAGCTGTTAACCACAACGCCGCGTTCCTCTCCGTTGTTCTTGCAAGTTAATCTTAAAAGAAAGACATAAAGCGTCGCGGATTTTTTTGAGATCATTTAAAGAGGAATCATTCTTTTATACATCTTTCTTGGGCATCTTGAACCGTTTTCGCAGCGTACGCAATGGAAACCCACAAGGATTGAATATTTTTTAACATTTTTTTTCGTGACATTACCCGTTTATTCTTAGCTGCCTATTAGTCAGAGCGCAATTTTTTATAGCCTTCCTCAATAAATGTTCTAACGAACACAAAATCTCACGAACTGGTTCGAACTGAAAAATTATTCAATACGAACCAGTAGTTCGTGAGATTAGCGCGTTCAAACATACAAACAAACTCTTCACCATTATAAATTAGTATAGACTCTTAATAATACGTTAACCAATGCGAAAAACATTTGCCTTAATCTAATTCTAGAAGATTGATAGATGATAGAATATTTGTTCTTGTTCTATATTATCATTTGCTATGCATGTTTTCTCTGTAGGTGACTGGTCTCCATGTTCTTCCAATTGTAATGGAAGACAAGTTAGAGGTGTGCTATGTATAGGAGGAACGGGGAGGCACTTAAAAGAATCTGCTTGCAGAGCGCCAAAACCAGAAAGTGAAAGAAGTTGCGGTGAGGATTGTAAACCGACTTGGTTTACGAGTGATTGGGGTCAAGTAAGTTGTTACTAGTTTTGATTTAAGTTATCTACTAATAGAAAAAACATTTTGGTACCAAAGAGGATTAAGTGTTTTAAATTCTTTTCTGTACATTGATATCTCAATTAATTATTATTCATGCTATAAGAAAACGTAAAGAAAATAACAATTATTTGAAACGTGAAGTGAATTTGAATTTTTAAATGGCCGTTTATTTTTTTTTAAATTTAAACCGTTTAAGTGTTTTACTTATATGTGTTCTACTCGCGTAAACAGAAGACAATGATATTATTTAATCTCTCCTAAAGTGTATCGGTAACTGCACCATTGGAATTGGAGTTCAACATAGGACCGTCGTGTGCGCACGCTCTGATGATGCAGCGAACGACTCGATGTGCGCGATCCCGAAGCCGCATGCCACACGACCTTGTTCACCACGCTGTTCCGACTCTGCTCAGCTGACCATACGTGAGTTTTAGAGCATTTTTCTTTTATTATAAATGTTTATAAGTTATTACCCCGAATTAAAAATCCCTTATCTTTAATGTAAATTTAAACACATATTTTAAAGTTCTTGAAGCTAATACAAAATTCAATATTAGGAACAATAAAATCTTATGATTATTATTACTAAAATAATTATGTGAATTCAGATCTAAAAAGTCACGATTCCTTACAGAGTCTCATAAAGAAGAGAAGATAACAACTACGACTCAGACGACAACTGTTGAGCTCTTACCGAGAAAAGGTATGAACTTAAGCAGATAATAGAAGTATTACTGAGATACTAAAATCAGGAATATGTGTTTTTATGCCTATCACGTTTTATTTTCTACTAGCTAACCTGTCAAACGGTCTTTTGCCATATAAAGCAGTAGCTATGCCAGCGACTTCGCCCGCGAGTGTCGTTAATATGGTCATCCAAATTCGTTATTGCAAACCCCGTCATCTTTATAACCTACGACGTCGGTTGCGTTCCTTCCCTTCGTTCTTGCAAGTTAACCTTAAAAGATAGAAATATACTGCAGCGAACATTTTTTTAATATCATTTAAAGAGGAATAATTTTTTCATATATATTTTTTTGGTGTCTTGAACCGTTTTCGTAACGTACGTAACGTTTTTTCCACATTTTGTTCATGTTGCACATTTTGTATCTTCGCCACTGTTAGTTGTTTTATGGTCTTAAGCCTTTCTCGATAAATAGTTCCAATAAACAGTCGTCAGATTTATAATATTAGGATCGATGTCTGTCATATTATCTTTATATCCGAAAGAGAATGGTAATTACAGCGTTATTAAGATCTTCTACAGTATTCATTATATTTATTGTCTTTTGTTATTACTTAATCGATTGTTTTTTTTTTTTCCCTTTATTTCTGATTATTTATGTTTATTTACAAACCTATGTAAGTCCTCTCTTTTGTTTCAGATTGCGAGGACAAGCTGACTAATTGTGCTCTAGCTGTACAAGCTCGGCTCTGTCATTATAAATATTACATACACAACTGTTGCGACTCGTGTAGGACGTAGAAACATAGTAGTTTGGTAGAGAAGTTACGACTTGACGTATAACGCCATATTTAATTTTCCTAAACTGCTAGGATGTGTCTGTTCACTTAATAGCTTTTACTAACAGGCAAGTAACGCCAATGAGAGATAGGAAATTTACTGTAAAATAAATTTAGACGTGATAGATATCCGGGTTCTCTTTCCCAGTAGAGTACTTTTGAGTACTTGTATTTTTATCGCGAGATTTTTCCCCAGCGCAGACTCTTTCATAAATTCAAATGAGACGTTTGTGAAAATTTTATACGTACTGTATTTCGGCGTGATAAAAGTATTGAATTATTTTACAGATTTGTATTTTTCTCGAAGATATTGTGTATTAAGCATTTACATTTTTAGATATAGGGCTAGTTTTTTAACTGTAAATAGAAATGAAATAAAGGACTAGTACGAGACGTCTTTATTTTAATAATTATTAACAAATATATTATAAATGTATAGTGATATAAAAATAACAATACTATCATCCTCAAAAACAGAATGATTCACGAAGAGTTTGTTTGTTTCCTGTGTTTATCTTCTGAATCTATTTTATCTTGTAAGTATCTAGATTTTTGTTACTATGACTGAAGCAATAAAAATATTTCAAAATTTGATGCATAAGGTAATCGTATTACTTTCTCATACCTTCACCTTTCCACAAGATTTCATGCTGGTCAATTGCAATTTTCAGATGCCAAAAATGACAAAAATTGCATCAATAATACCAAAATAGTACAATATTTATTAAATAAATCAATAAATACGATCAATTATTTCACAAATAAGGTTCCTTTAATGTTTATTCTTACAAGAAAACCTATAAAGGAAACAGTACTTCGAATCTTTTTATTTACTTAATAAGCTTTAATCGTTTAACTACATGCACGCATGGAGATACCAATGTACCAACTAAACCAATAACTGTGAAACCTATAGCGATATTACTAAATCTATATCCTAGGGAATATCTAAAAATCGTCAAGTTAAAAGCAAAACATAAACTTAGGAACGCAAAACTAAGAGTTAACATACCAAGGAAAGAGTGAGTTATTTTAACAAAAGTGATATTAAGGTTTAATCTTGATGAATTAGCGTGTACGATACCTCCAAACATGTTGATTATCGTACATAGAAACGCTAATATACCTGAAAGAAATATTTTTCAAATGTAGTCTTATTATATTGGAGCAATTTAATCTTTATGTACATTCAGATGTGCTCTTCTGTATGTTCATATTATTGTCATTATTTGTTAAGGATAGAAATTTAGATGAAGAGACCTGATAGTGGGTCTGATAACTTACCCAAGATACCATGTACCGAAGCAAAATTACTCGTCACATCCATCATTCTTATGACACTGCCGATGGACACCAAAATGGTTCCAACAATTTGCAGACACCAGTGTATCATTTTTCGTTGCTCATATTTTACTTTTCGAGCCCAACCTGCTTGTGGATTCAGCAAATGTACCGCTTGTGGCATTATAAGCACGTACTGCAATATTGTAACTATAGTAATTAAACAAGCGAAAATAAAAATGTATGATGTATGATCGAGAAAGTTCATGTTCATATAAACATAGATGATGGTCTCTGTAGTAAAAGGCTAAACGTGTTACTTAGCATTACGTTAAGAGCAAAAGTGGGTTGGAATCCAGAGGAAATAATAATTTCGGTCGGGCAGGGCCAGTCTGATCGACTACTTATCTATTATGGAAACCGATCTGTGAAACGAGCCCAAAATGTCTTCGTCCCATGCCCCATGTGGGAGACGGGATTTTACTTTATATAAGTAGATAAACACATTAAGTGAGGTTTTATAGGGACGAATAAAAATAAATTGTAAATACATTTCGTGTTTTAAAACGTTTGAAGTTTTTTAATGTGTACTACCTACTCGCGCGACTACTCGAGACAATACTATATTTTGAAGTGTCAATTACCGGTGAGCGACTCAACGATTTATAATCTAATTGCAATTTATACTAAAACCTGCTTTGACTTCTACCGTCTTATCCTAAAACTGTTTTACTGTTGGCTACTGATTTCACATCAAAAGTAAGAATTTGAAAAAACTGCTATTAAGTAAATTATTTACTTGTACTTTTAGGCTTAACATAACGTTTATGTTGACTAAAAATTTGATCAATAGGTTGAAAAGATCCACATGCACCTATCACTGTACAATGTGATTTAAACCTTAACACTAGTGTATTTACGATTTATTGTAAAAATGATATACTTACACCAATAACACACAAATAAACGTGTTGTATGAATGAGGTACTGGCGTAAAAACCGCGTATAAACGCCAATGCACAAATCATAACGCCTCCCAAACACAGATTTGTGACAGAAATAATTACATTAAGTATAGTAATATACACAGGCGAAACATCACTTCTATCTAACGATTCTCTTATAACAATAGTCGTCATTTTAAATACAAAATACAACAACGTACGATATTCTCTTTTTTATAACTACGATAAATCATCTTCAAAGATACAACGGTCTTTATTATCTTGGTATTTCGATAGAGATGATTCTCTACGGAAATACATTGATAGTAAAACTTATTCTTCTAGATAAAGGACTCTGTAGTTTACGCGAGTAGTACACATTTAAATAAAACGCTTTAACGATATAAACGCGATTTTTACTTTGACGTCAGAGACACCCTCCATCTTTAGTCTCCCCATGAGCACGGCTGCTGCTAAGCATCCGAAACGTCGGACTGTAGTTTAAGTAATATTCAAATACGTTTTATTAAAATATATCGCGTTTCAAACCGTTAAAGTGTTTTGTTTAAAAGCGTTCTCTAAACAGATATTAGTAAGACATCTTAACAGTAATTCTATATTCTTATCTCTTGATGAATAAACCAAAATATCTCCCGTAGATACATTAAATAGTCTTTTAATTTTAACACACGGTCGAGACTTGAACTGTAATCTACAACGAAATCCGTGCTATTGCTCTATACGATGGAGCTATCGTGTCCCACGCGTTTTTGTCGATTTTTTTCAACCTTGATACATACATCACTCACGCAATGTAATTTCAACTTTAATACTTGGTTACTAAGGTTTATTTATATATTGTATTGTATTTTCCGGATAATACAGAAAAGAAAATAAAAAAACATGTCTATCTCGCTGGAAATCGAAATTGCAACCCGTCAGTTATTAGCAATACATTGCTGCTAATATACAGAGGAAAATGCATCTTAAATTAAATTAAACAGATTGCATTAAACCGCGGTGGGATATTATGTTAAACACATACAGTATGGCGTGAAACACGACGGACAGATTTTAATTACCTCATAATCTGGGAACGGTAATTAAAGATTCTGAATGAAATTAAACACTTGTAGTTGTTTTAGATACATAATATTCCATAGTCACTATTTCAATTAATTCTATATAAAGGTGAAGGGTTTGTTTGTTTATACGCGCTAGTCGCAGAAACTACTTTATTTTTGCGTTAGTAAAAAGAATTTTTCGATTCAAACCAAAAATTTAGTTGGTAGAGCATTTATCGAGAAAGGCTATAAAATTTTACTCCTTGTTCAGTCTACTATATTGACTTAGAGAATTTTCAATTTTTATTAACAAATTCTTACTTTTCGATAAATATTTATCTAACAAAGTCCGCCTCTGTAGCCAAATGGTTAAACGTTGTTGTTGACTAGCATTGCGTTAAGCGCGAGAGGTCCTGGTTTCGTATCCCAAAGAAACAAATAATTTATTCGGTCAGGCAGCGCACAGAAGTCTGATCAACTACTTGCCCATTAAAGAACGGATCAGTAAAACGGACATATAAATGTGTTCGCCCCTTGCCCCACGAGGGATAAACGGAATTTCAAACATATTAGATAAATATTACATCTTATCTACCGCCAATTGAAATATTTCAGTAAAATGCAACCTCTCAATTATTGTAATTAAGTGTTAAGTAAATAGCGGCTTCTTCATTGATTAGCTAATCTATGTAATTCATAAGTAGGTATAAATTACTTGTATTACACAAAACTCATTTTACAGGGATACATACATAAGTCTCGTGTCTTCTACAAAGAGCTATATAGTTTTTCATTAATGTTATAGGGCCGACGTTTCCTTTTTTGTCTGTCATCGTCTGTTATAAAAATACCCCCTCCAGTTTTTTTAAAAGCTTTTAGACCACCTGTACAAGGCGAATTCCCAGTAAGTAAATAAATTGCTTCACGTGGGTAGGGCACATTCCGATTAACTGCCTACTTGTCTGTAAATACATTGAACCAGATAATTGTTTGCACCATACCCCATCAGGATAAAAGTGTTTTACTACTAAAATTGTTCGTAGCTTTGTTTTCAATCCTAAAATAGGTATAATAGACGATTGAATCTTCCATCAAAAGAGGTTCGTATTATAGATTATCTATATTTGACCGCCTCTGTAGCCAAATGGTTATATGTCTTGACTAGCATTGCGTTAAGCGCAAGAGGGTTCGAATCCCAGGGAAACAAAAAATTGTTTCGGTCGGGCAGGGTACAGAAGTCTGATCAACTACTTGCCTGGTAAAGAACAGATCAGTGAAACGGACACAAAAATGTGTTTGCCCCATGCCCCACTAGGGGAAACGGGATTTAAAGAAGATTATTTTTAAAAGGTTATATATTTTGATAAAAACACAAAATTTAGTTTTTAAAGCTTATTATTTTTGTACATTGTTATATGCTTTATTAGTACAGACACGTTAAACCGATTAAAACACATGTGATGGTACAAATTATGGCGGATCTAAAGATAACATAAATACTTAACAGATAGTAAAAGCTCTAAACATAAAAATAAACTATTTACACAATTCCGTCTAAAGCAAAGCTGAACGTTGTGCTACTTTAAAAACTTAGTTTAAATAAATAATGAACACAAGTCTAAAGCATTAACTTGGTTTATACACTTACGTTAAAAGGAATACTATAGTTTGACTATTCTATGTAACCTAAGCATTAGATTTAAAACGTTACCTAATTATAATACAAATTTGAAAATCTCTTAAGTTTAAATAAAACACTTAAACGGTTTAAAACGCGATAGATTAGTTAAACTTATTTGAAAATGATTTCTAACGTTTCGGATGCTTTCCAGCAGCCGTGGTCACGGGGAGGCTAAAGATGTCTCTTACGTCAATTGTTAATAAAAATCATTTTTAAATAAGTTTGACTAATATATCGCGTTTTAAACCGTTAAAGTGTTTTATTTAAATGTGTACTACTCGCGTAATCTACAGATAGTATTTAATCTCGTAAGTTATTTATTATTCGAAAATTCGGTGTAATGATTAACAATACAGTGTTACAGTGCATAGATCATAAATGTTGTGCTTTAAATATCGTTTACTTTGTCAGAGCCGTCGACACCGTTGAGACTTTTCGATTGTCGATTCAGCTAAAAAATCACGAAAGGAAAACATTACACTCTCGACTAATATATTGGAGATCACAATTCTATTCCTAGCCTACTGAAATACGAAAAATGAACTTCCAACTAGATAATTCACCTTAGAAATATTGATTATACGATTATTTCTATCTTCCTGGCCACAGATGGCGTTGCGAAGAGCGAACACAGTCGCGCATGTCGTGGTTCGTTTGCGTTAATCATATTATTTGTTTTAATATTGCAATTCAAATAAAACACTTTACACGGTTTTAAACGCATTTTATTATTAAACCGGCCGTGGTCACTGGGGACACGCTGCAAAGCCTCCGAAACATATATTTCGCGTTTCAAACCGTTAAAACGTGTTTTATTCATATGTGTAATACTCGCGAAACTACATAGCAGTTCATTTGTTTCAGTCGCGAGACATCGCCGTTCGCATCGTCATTTTTCGTGGCCAACTCGTTAAACTACCCGCAAACACGCTCTTTTCCACTAGCTGTTGATGGATCCGGAAGATCGTTCTAAAAAAAGCTATAGAGGCTTGCTAAATGTTTTAGTATTAAAATAGCGTCTTACGTTCCCTTTTAATTTTACTATTAGTCCTTTTCGTATCACAATGAGTCACCGCTGCTGAATCCCTCCGACGCGTTGACGGCGCCTAAAAGTGAACAACAAATTAAATCCCACTAACAAATTTAGCTGTCGGAGTTAAGCTGTAAGCGTCCTGGTCTCATTGTTACATGTTATTCAGAGAATGGCTCAATTTAATGTTCTGTGCCATGAATATGCATGTCATATAACAATGGTACAGAATAGGAAATTATGCAAAGACATTTTGAGCTCGGTCCCAGGTAAGTTAGGGGAGCCGGAATGCACAATGTCGGGAGTGTGGTAAATCTCTGATGTCCACATACTGAGTACAACTTCAAACTGAGAAAAATTAAGATATTTTTCTTGTGTTGAAGTGGTACTAAGCTGTGTTGTAGAAGGAAAACTTATGTTTGCATTTGTTTCTGTAATATGAAGTTATAAAGCTGACGATGTTTCTCTACATATCGAAATGAATGTATTATTACCAATTATTTGGCATACAATATAATAATAATGTCTACCAAACAAGATGACGACGTTTACCGGATCAGCTAATTTAAGATACAGTTCATATACTTACTTTTTAACGAAAAAAAATGTCAGCATACCTTTTCACACGCTTATCGTCCGTGGCAGGATTGACAGCAGTTATCCCCATAATAGCGGTAGTGGCAAAGCCTTGCTTGAACCGCCAACACGCAGTTGCTTAACTTATCCACACACGCTCCTGAAAATTGATATAGGTCAGCATCAACATGGTTGACTTAGTAATAAATAGAATTTTTGCTCTGTTTGAAATCCTTGGTCTATAGACTTTTACATAGAAATAATTGAAATACAATTGATGTTCATTTGTTTAAAATTCGAAAACGCCTGTGGCGATTGATTTTACAATTTTCGTCTTATTTCAGGAAAGATCTTGAATCGATTACATAATTACACATTGCTTGGTTTATCGCGTATTGGTATAGTGTCTGCCATTTTAAAGAATGAAAGTTTTAATGATGTATAGATGTTATTTAAACAAATAATCTTACCATCGCTGTACGTGCGTTGCTTAACATTTTGCACATTTGGATTTTGATGCCGTGTTACACGATTTTGGGAATCTGGAAACCAAAAAAATCATATAATGTCTAAAGAAAACGTTTTTGGCTTTTTCTAAAGGAAAAACTGTAGAGAGATGACATTTACCAGTAGTCACGGGGTTAATGATTGCTGGTTTCACAACGGGTCTTGTTGTACATCTTGCTGGTACACACGAGCGGCGCGCTGGAGGTCGCAAACTAGGACATTCGGAGTCTCTAGCAGCGCCTTCTGCACCGTCTATTCCACCACGTGCACACCAAACAGTGCGGGTCTGGATTCCCGCTTCACACGGCCCAGTACACTGAGAAACAAAGGATCCATCTATACTAATATGAAGCGGAAGAGTATGTTTGAATGCGCTAAATTTTGGACCTACTGAGTCGAATTGATATTTTAATGTCAGATCGTTTATCGAGAAAGGTTTAGGCTATAAAACATGACGTTATGACCAATAGGAGCGAAGAAACGTTGAAATACGCTCTCGTTACGTGCAATGCGGCAACGATTCTAGAAACTTTTTTCTCTTTGAATGATCTTCAAAAATGTTGTCATCAGTATATGTCTATCTTTCAAATATAACTCGCAAAAGCTGCGGGTCGCGGATGACCGGGACGTCGAAGGACGAAGGCTACGGACTTATCAAACTGAGGCACACCCAAAATAACTATTTCACGCGGACAAAGTCGCAGACACGGCTAGTTAGGAATACGTATGGGCAGATGCAACTGACGGCGTTTAAATCATATTGTCACTTACGCCACCCCAATCACTTAGGTACCAAGACGGAGAACACGTCCCCCCACAGGCTTGCTCAGTCTCAGGCTTTAGAGCCCGACATGAACCATCACGAAGTCGCCTGCCATTACCACCGATGCAGATAACTGCACGAATCTGGCGACCACCGCACGCAGCAGAACAGACTGACCAATCACCTAAAAGCATTTGAAATTAGAATGATGTGTCATGTAGCTATGATTAAATTCTGTCATAGGTATAGTGTAATATATATAGGTATTGTATTTAACTAGATCTAGACGAAGAACAAAGATAAATATTAATTGAACTATAGTAGACTCGGAAATAATAAAAAGAGTTCCGAATTTTAGATAAAACAAAAGTATATAAGATATAAGTATATCATATTGTCTTGATTGTTAGGAATCATCATGCATTTATACTTTAAATAACTGTATCTTAACTTCAGAAACTCATCGATAAAAGTTGACTGCTGGAGGCAGAAAAATTAGTTATTAGATGAGTCGATTTATCAAACATTTTATGTAACAGGATTCGACTGTAGTATATAAAATTCAGATAAATACCCGTAAACCATTGAGCGTCACATTGTCTCCTAGCAGAGCAAGACTGTGAGGAGTGTGGAGCACGATGAGCAGCACAGCCAGATGGATCAGCGCAGCGAACACCACGCGATTGTACTCCACCACCAACACACCAGCCAACACACTAGTAATGTATTAAAATTAACAAACTAATTACATTGTCAACCGATCTCATGTCAATAATATCAACAAGATATAGAATATAATACTATTTGTAATTTATTTTATTAAGAAAAAATATCACGTCTAAGTCTAAATAGGGTAAATTTACGTTGATCCGCACCTCTGACCATTCCGTATAAAGCCAGCCACCGGCCGCAGTGAAGCTATATGACGGCCCTAAAGTAGGACTAACGTCATTGTCGGAAATGTTGCTCGCTAGAGAGATGATAGGTCCTTCTCGGAAGGTGTCCGTGTGGTCTCTTGTTCGCACTTGACGCCTTGTATCCAATTTTGGTACTTTTGGTACTGCTGTTCCATCACAATTGGGAATATCGCAAGGTTCACTGCTGGGAGGCATTGGTAATGGACATTTTTGATCAGATATCTGAAAATAAAATTGTTTTAGAAATATTCATATTCGAAATATATTCACGTTAGATTATATCAAGGATCTCTTGTTGAGTACTTATTTTATTTATTAAAATAAATGAAATTTTAATATGTTATACCTTGGTAATCCCTCTTGCGTGATCTTGTACACAACCTACAATCCTCGTCTTATGCGCTGGACCACAGACTGGGCAAGGTCCCCACGCAGCTGCTCTCCAACGAGGAGGACAAGGCGTCACGCCGCATCTCCTGCGTCTCGATGATGGGGGAGACCCCGTACAATGTGCTGGGGAAACTTCCCTATCTTCCTTTCCTCCTACCTCCAAGCATTTGAATTTACCGATTTGCAGCCCCCCACCACACGTTCTGGAACATTGCGTGTATGATAAAATCTTCCACATAAACTTTCGGTTACCAATAACGTTACTCTCAACGGGAATTTGGTTTTCATTCGAGTTGTAGTCTGGATGTTTGGATAGTGTGGGATCCGTTTTCTCTCTCGTATGAGATTCTGCGTTGTGATGGCGATGGTGCCTCTGCACTGGATGCCGTGGCGCGATGACTTCGGTTGGAATATCGTTACTCGTTTCATCGGGCAATGAATCTGTCAAGTATTCGTATTTTATGTTCGGATGCGGTTGTGTGTAGAGGACCTGTGAAATATTGTTTGAATAAGACAATGGAAATGCCGAGATAAAATTACATTGCGGTTTAAATTAGCACCGAGTACAGACCATAATGTCGACGGCTTGATGTATTGGCCCCATTGCAAATATATTGTCGAGTCCACCAGAACGGGAATATATAAAACGTGCCCCGGCCGCTTCGTAGGTGCCCGGGGCACTAACAGCGAATTCTCCGTTAACAATGTACGAACCATTTGATACTCTCAAAGCTAAAACAAACGAGAAATACATATTTTACAATCGAGTCGATAACATGTTTTAAATACGTGGGACATGAAACTTATTACGTCCCGTTCCTTCTATATACTCTGTCTAATATGGGAGAATATGTTTGATATCTGTCAAATTTAAGGAATAGGTTAGTATGGTATAACCGGTTTCATTATGTTTAAATTGTATATGGAATATTTAAAGAAGTTAATACGTATTTTAATAAGTAAAGTAGATGAGAAGGAGGGTTGAAAACCAAATTTGATGCCCAAAATTTTACTCTACGGGGATGAAGTGTCTGGCACAGTAAGTATCGTATGTATATGAATGTTACTCTAATTTTTCTATTGTATATAATTTGTTGTTTGCAAAGTACCTTAGTAAATATGTGGAAGTCATAATCAAATTTCAGGTATTATTAATATTACAATGACAAATTTACACCGCACACATTTTTAGACACGAGCAATTTTCTTCTACGTTTACATAGACAAAGGTGATAAGCGTTCAATCTTACCCACTTAGTCCTCCGTGGGCATCGAATTACGCCGATTAATAAACGCGAACTCGCATTGTATTTACGGAGCAATTAACAAATTGGCAAAACGTTCGCCGACTGCGTCATGCGAATAATTAACCGCCAATTGTGCTGACCGCTATCTCGATTTATCTTACGCGCAGGCGCATCTATTGAAATGCACGCGTGCAATTAATCGATTCGACATCAATCTACGCACTTCATCGTTCCATTAAAATCTCTCGTGACCCAGTACCGGCCTAGTAGATCACTTCAATAAAAATTGAAACCTATTGGCCGGCGAGCAGGCCTGCCCGAAAGCTTTATTAGCCGGCCTTGAAGGCAACATCTGCTCATTAGTTATTAAACAAGACAACTTATGTTTATTGGACTAATTTGCCAGTTCAATTAAATCCTTTCTGGTACTGCAGACCTAACAGAATATGGTTAAACATTTTGAATTCATACAAATAATATGGTCAAAAAAAATTATTATAATTCATATCACCTCTTATTAAAATTTTAACGGTTTAAATGTGAAATATATTATTTCTACTTAACCTAAGTACCGTCTGTGGTTTACGCGAGTAGTACAATATTATAACACTTTTAACGGTTTAAAACTCGAAAAGCATAATTTAAACTTATTTACAATTGATTACTGGTTTACATCAGTGGTTACGAAACCGGAACCCCTACCATCCAAAGCGTCGGTCCGTGATTAAAATAAATTGTAAATAATGTAAACCGTTAAATACTTTACAGTCGCGGTTCGATAGTGGGGTTTTAAATCTGGTATTTTTTTTAAATTGAAACTTGTGATACTGTTAGCACTTAGAAAGAACCCCCATTTGCCAGACGAGGCGTATGGTACGTAACATGTTCAACGCTTTATTCTTTCTACGTAACGATTTTATTCACAATCAGACTTGCTCTTTAAACCAAAAATTATATTTCTTCAATAAATTTGCAGATATGTTAGAAGTCAGGGTGACTTACCAATATAATTTTCGCTGGAAACAATTTCGGAGACATTAAGTCTACATGCCCCATTGGGTACCGTCGTTACGTAGGAGTAACCCAGGGGCAGTCGTGGCCTGGAGAAGAGACCTGATACTAGGCGCTTTCCGCATTGCAGCTCGCGTGACGCAGTGGAGGAAAGTACACCTTCTCTCCCCACCACCTGAGAAAAAATTGAAAAAAAAGCGATTGTATTTATATATGTTAAATACTGTCTATAATTTACGGGAGCACACATTTAAATAAAACACTTTAACGGTTTTAAACGCGAAGCAAAAATAGTAAACTGCTTCCATTTATTACCGACTTTTGCGACGCATCCGAAACATCAGGTTTTAGTTATAATAAGTTAACTAATATATTCCACTTTTTAAATATGTTTAACAAATAGATTTCATGATTTGAACCGTTAAAAGTGTATAAAATGTGTACAACGCGCGTAAACTACAGACGCTAAGTTTTTTACATGTATTTTTTTTTATATAGCTTTTATAATAAACAACGGTTTAAAAGGCGAAACGTATTCGTTAAACTTATTTCGCGTTTTAAACCGTTAAAAGTGTTATATTTAAATCTGTTAGACAGTATTATGTCTGCAGAATAAAGACCTATCTTGTTTGTGTCTAAAACCAATAGAAAGAGTGGTTCAGAATCCATTCAGCGGTCGTTTGTTACAGCTATAAAACATAAAAGTAGAGAGCGCTTTTACGCAATATTAAATCAGTCACGCGTGTTCCCGACTGAGATCAGTGTGAGTCTAGGGATTAACACGTCAACGCATTTCACGGACGTCTTGCGCCTGCGCAGGTCCAGAGATATTAACTATAATAACTTAGTATTTGCAGTTTTAAGAGTATTATTTAATATTATGTACTATAATGAACGTATAAAAAAGCTGAAAAGTTTGTTTGTTTGTTGAAAATTATTTGCGTGTTGGATAGATCATTTATCAAGGAAGGCTTAAGGCTATAAAACATATATGTATAAAAACAGTGACAACACTGGTGAACTGGTATTTTATTTATCTTTGAGGGCTTCCATTGCGTGCACTGATAACTGAAAAAATATGCTTAGAAGTCTCTGGTCAGTCTCTTAATAGAAGAAATTTTAAGATTACCTCGCAAGAACGATGGGACGCGGACAACGTCGTGGGTAAGAATTATAATTTAAAAAGCTGAGGAGTTTCGCGATAATATCCAAATTTATTTACTTTGGAGTAACTATTCCACGCGTACGAAGTCGGGGGCACAGCTAGTAACAAATAATATTGGTATCTCGTAGTCAAACTAGGGTCATTATACGTGAAATAGCGTTGCCCCTCTTTACATACATATTTCTGTGTCTGACCCGCTAGTTGATATTCTTTTGAAGCAATTATGTTCCGTTAGGAATTGAACCCGAAACCTCTCGCTCTGGACGCAGAATAAGAGAACTCAAATTACCACTAAGCAACAGATGCTTAAAATATCTTACTAATCCCTTATTAAAATAACTGTTAAACACTCTAGCGCAACTTGTCGGTCGGGTCCCGATACCCGACCACAGACTACACCCTTCCCATGTTTTAATATCCACTTATGATTTATAGCTAATTAAAAACCTCGTTGAATTGATATATGATCACAGATTGCATAACATTGCAAACGAATGGCCAGCAACAGACGATCAAATGATAATTAAAAAGAAAAGAATTATATGTTTTAACATTTAAATTAGGAACAGCAATGGATTATTTGAAATGTGAAAAATATAGCGTCATTTACTATTATACAGTACAGTTTTAAGTAAATTTAGAAATAGTAAAACATCAAATATAATTTAAAAAAATCACTTTGCCCGTTTAAAACGCGACATATTAGTTAAACTTTTTGAAAATGATTTTTAACTCCGACCCTACGTTTCGGATGCTTTGCAGCAGCCGTGGTCACGGGGAGACTAAAGATAGAGGATGTCTCCGGGCCGAAGTTAAAAACATTTTCAAATAAGTTTAACTAATATATCGTGTTTTAAACCGCTAAAGTGTCTTATTTAAATGTGTTCTACTCGCGTAAACTATAGACGGTATCACATATTATGTTAAAAATAATAATTAATTTAACACAAAACGGTTTGGTTGGGTTTATGATGACGTCACTTGCTTAGAAACTATAACGGACTGTAGGAAGTCCTTGTGTTGAAATTGTTATAATATTTTTTTCAGAAATTAAGAAATAATAATATTAAAATATTATAAATAATATTGTTGTGAATGTATTTTAGCAAATCTGTATCAGAATTCAAAAATACTGTTCTAGGATTCATTAACATCTCATATAAAATTAAGTCTGTTTTAATTAAATAATTTAAACACAAAAAAGTCGGTAACTAGTTATATTCTTATGAAGATTAATGGATGGTTTCTCGTTTAAAACAGGCTCCACGCAAATATTTAATGACAAAACTATGTTTGCTGATAAGGTGAGGCGCCTAAAGATGTATAAAGGAATAACATAAAAAACTAATAAAAAAAGACGTAAATATCTTAATTGAATTAAACCGCCAAGCGTAGGTATTAGGAATAATACAATGTTAAAACAAAGATTTATTCTATATCCCAGCTAAAATATAAGGACACAAGGCAAAGTTTTAAGTTAGTAATAATAATTTATCTTGCAATCTTAAGCATAGTGCTGGGTCATGAATTCGGTTAATTTTCGGTTAAATTATTTTCATTTATGTGTATTAAATAAAATCTGAATCAAATTATGTAGTAAGAAAAGTAAACATGGTCCAAAGTTTCCGGGGACAAAATATAAATGCATGAATCCAAAAGTATAAGTTATATTTATTTACAAATTATAAATATGTTAACTACGGCTCGACGTTTCGGAGCCGTAGGCATGGGGAGACTAAAGATTGAGTCCGACTAATCTGTTCTGTCGTCGTGTGAATAAGTTTAACTAAAGCATTTCGCATTTTAATGTTATAAGTGTTTTATTTAAATGTGTACTACTCGCGTTAACTACAGACAGTGTTGAAGTTTGCCGCTTCGGTTTCGGTTAAAAGTCATATTCGGAGCATCTCTTAGAAGGAAATGTCGGATCATTTTTTATTCAGTTTCATATTATGGATGGATAAAGCCGCGGGTAAAACTCTTAAATCATCATTTACTAAGGGCTGTCCCTTTCGCCTATCATAACTTTATGTTTCGCGCAATACTGTTATTGCGCGAAACATAAACTTATGATAGATGTTGCAAATCATCCGGAACGTAACGTCACGTAGTCAAAATCAATTAAATATAAGTTAAGTAATATATTTCACGTTCTAATCTTTTAAAAGTGTTTTATTTAGAAAATTTTCAGATTTTCAAAGTTATTTCATAATAAGTTTGTTGCATATTGAACATATAGCGCAATTGTTTTTCGTACACTACATTATAAGAACAAGTAATTATAGGAACAATACATTAGACCATTGTTCGTTTACAATAAAATTACAAGCTTTTGAAAAAACACATCTAACAATGATAGATACATGTGGCTGCAGCACAACATTTCGTAATATTTAATGTGACACTAATGCGACTCGAACATTAGTGAATAGTAATGTCAGTTTTATGAGCCTGCTACAGATAACGACATCTAAATCTCGTATTGGACGCGGGAATCATTTTAATCGTGAAGTGTGTGAAGAAACTATAAAACTGTTTGTCCCCCAAGCTTACGGTACGTAGGGTTGACACAACAGCTTAATATTAAACTGTTGTATCTTAATTAGCTAAGTTTGCGGAGCTTTTAGGGTTGGCACTCGATAGAACGTTATTTAAACTTTTTCAATTATTTATTAACTTATTATGAAAGTGAAGGATGGGATACAATTGATTTAAATAAAGATACGATACAGACCTACTTTTTTTAAACATTTGGAGATCCACAGACTGTAACCTAAACGCGACTTAATGTCAAGTTAAGGCTTTTTCATCTGTGGATGGTATTTCGTTACTATATTATTTAAAACGAGAAGGAATCGTTAAATTAGATAGAAATAAATGGATTAGAATATGTATTTTCTGTAGTTTACGAAAGTAGTACATACTTAAATAAAACACTTCAACGGTTTAAAAGAAGAAATATGTTTTTATTACACCTGTATTATTTAAAAGACATACCACAAAAAAATATATTACTTAACATATTTTGAATTTAAATACTCAGTGTTTCAAATCTTTGAAAGTGTTTTGTTTAAATGGAATACATTCATAATTTTAAAGTTCATACTGGCGTAAAATCTAAGCTTTAGTATTGAATGTTTTTAAAAATTACATAAATCAATATTCTTTTTTTTTAATAACAGTATCAAGTTCGACGCTAAGGCATCAAGTTTATTTTGGCAATATTTGCATTTTTCATAATCAAAAACCAAAACAGATGTTCAATGTTGAATTCAGTATGAATCAGAATTTATGTCCACGTTACGTTACGTTTGACTTTCAATTGTTCTGTTTTGTAGCACATCTGACACAAGCAAGGTCAAAGCGTTCAGAGAATACATACGAAACTGGAGTGTACAGTCATCAAGAAAAACTCAAAGGCCCAAAACAATAGACACGATTAAATCTATTACAAACGTTCCTTTCAGCCACAGTTCGTAATTAAGACAATAGCGGAGCCAGTAATAAATTACACAGTTTCATTAAAGCAACTAGACCATTCGTTGACTTTCCATTATCATACAAGATGAAGTTGACACAGCGCAATTATACATTTATTAGCGCTGCGGACTCCAGAATATGGCATCGCACACTCGTCTCCCGTCTGGAAGCTTAAATATTTATACTTCAAACTAGCTGTGCACCCCGCTTCGTCCGCCTGGAATAACTCTTTTGGGTATCATATTATACACTTCCACTATTTCCTCGCTTTTATAGATCGCAGCGTGATTTTAAATAGCCTAAAACATCATGGTCTATCTCCCCGTGACCACGGCTGCTGCAAAGCATCCGAAACGTCGGGCCGAAGTTAAAAATCATTTCCAAATCAGTTTTACTAATATATCGCGTTTTAAACCGTTAAAGTGTTTTATTTAAATCATGGTCTATTTAACACAAAAATAATTATTCTAGCCGATAGCTCATGAAATTAGTGTGTGTATAACAAAAAAACAGACAAACTCTTCAGTTTTTTAATATTAGTTCAGATTCCATTGGCAGTGGTGTTTAATGTTAAACATTTAATGAAATCGAACACGACACTTCTGGAACTTCTCAACTAATGTCTAATACGGAATCAGTTAAAAACACTCAGCGTTTTGTCAACACGCCGGAATGTGGGTAGTTGATAAATAGAGCTTAGCTTCAAGGTCGAGTGAACAACTGAATCAGATAAGTACACTAATTTAACTATTCATCTGCGAACGGTAAGACAAAGGTATTCAGGAGTGCTACAAAGCAACAATATAAACATGTATATCTTGTATGTGCAACTGGGTCGCGGCTTATTTATCATGCAATAATGGTTATTGAAAATAGTTAAGTACGCAATGCATTATAATATGAATGTTAGGAGTAAAGCAGTTTAGTTATTCATATGGGACGTTTATTTCTTTAGAAAATGCTGTTGAATTTACACATTGTATAGGTGTTGCGTATTGCTTATTAATATTATATCATTAAAACAAACTAACGATACTGAAACCTATGATCAACAGTGTATTTATTTAATTTTAATTTATATAAAAAGTCAATATTGATAATAGATGTAGTTTTTTTTTCTCTCAGGTTCTTGACGTTTTGCCATCACGAGCGAACGGCATCATCAGGAGATGTTAGCGTCCCGATTGTTAGAAGAATTCTTCGTCCTGAACAATGATATGCTGAACGATGGCCGTCAAAGCCTTACACAATTTATTAACATTAACAGATATTAAATAAATATTGTTCTTATTAAAAATAAATAAATGTGCAGGCGCTACTCTTGCACTGAAATTACAAGTTTCTCAATCAATTGTAGAAATTAAATAAAATACTTTTGACAGTTTAAAACGAGAAGTATACAAAAAACGCCGGATCCTATTTAAAAATATATATATTTACACTTAAAAAAATAATTTAATTTAAGTAAACGTAAAGTATTTAAACTATCATTAATGTTTAAGCTATGCCCCGTTTCTATTTGGTTAAACAATTAAAATTTTACAACAAGACAAATATATTAATCGTGACGGTGTATTTAATCAAAAGTTTGCACTGTCCATACGTGCGTCCGCGCAGTGCAAATAGCGTGGCGCCAACATTCCTTTAGATGGCAAATAAGACATTCCTAAAATAATACAGACACGGTAACCCGATGACGACGTCTTTGACGATAGTGTTGATTTCCCGGTACTAAAAGTAAACTAACAAATTCAATGTCACAGTTTACGACCGACAAATGAAGCAGTATAATATGTATTCTACATCTCGCCTGGAATGTTTATAGGTCGCATATTATATATACGATGATGGTGATGATGAAGATGATGTAATACCGACTGATGTAAGGACAACATCTGAACTATTTTTACAGGAGTGTACACTGGCCAAACATTAAGTTAGCGAAAAAATCTGTAATACCATCCATTTGCACATTTTTGTGTTTGTTTGACTGGTCTCTTTTGTTAACGGACAAGTAGTTGATTCGTCTATTTTACCTGGCCAGCCCATGTTCTTGTTGTTGCGTTTTACCAAGCATAATCTTTATAACTCGTTGTTTGTTAGAAAAATGTATAACAAGTCCCGGAGTAAATTAATGAAAAACTTAAATAGTTAAATACTGTCTATAGTTTACGCAAGTAGTACACATTTAAATAAAACACTTTAACGGTTTAAAACGCGATATATTAGATAAACTTATTTGAGTCTTCCCATGACCTCCGATGCTGCAAAGCATCCGAAACGTCGGGCCGAAGTTAAACATAATTTTCAATTAAGTCTAATGGTAGTAAATTATTATGCAAATTATATTTTTTTTAAACAGTAGAAAAATCGAAATTCCTATCGAGTCACGAACTATTGTCCACAGATAAGCCGTGAAGATTAATTGCGTTTCGCTTCCAGTCTGTCGATTTCCAAATATCCAAAGCCAAAATAGATCGATGAAATATTTAGTTTTGATGTTATCTTCCATAAACTGAACGCAATTCTTGTTTGTTCTCTTAAATTAAAAAAAAATCTTACATTGAAAATAATCGCAAATGGCTGACCTATCACTTCAATATGTTATCAACCTTGATATTCGAGATGTTTATTAGAAATTATTGCACCAATCAACACTTGCCGATCTGCTTCGTTCAACAATCATTCGCCATTACATAAAGGGGTGACCCAAATTGACAAGACATAATACAAATGTCATCCACAAATTTCCTAATCAACACTAGGTGACCGCAACGATCGAAAATTGAGTGTCTAGACACTGTTTTAATTTGCTGTGATTTGCACATCCAAACTAGGTACATTACTTGAGGATCAAAGAAATGAAAGGAAGTTAATATGTACTGGAAAAAATATGACCGGCCAGGAAAGATTTTGGCGCACAGGAACCCGTACCAATGACTAAGTGCCTAAATTATCTGTCTATAGTTTACGCGAGTAGTACACATTTAAATAAAACACTTTAACGGTTTAAAACGCGATATATTTCGTTTCGGATGCTTTGCAGCAGCCGTGGTCACGGGGAGACTGACCACGTCTGCTGCAAAGCATCCGAAACGTCGGGCCGAAGTTAAAATTCATTTTTAAATAAGTTTAACTAATATATCGCGTTTTAAACCATTAAAGTGTTTTATTTAAATACATCGCTTTTGTTGGCAACCTTAAATATTTATCTATTTCACGTTGTATAGACCACAAAAATACAATTTGAAATATGTGAACATTTTCAACTGTACAACTATAACGCTCTTGAGAAGTTTTTTACTCTTCGACGCGGAACCCTAAAAACAATACAAGTGAAACTGAAATCAAAGTGCTAATTAATGAAATGAAGGCCATAATTTCGATTATAAAATCTACCGTCTATCTGGCGCCGTGACTCTCTCTGCCTTTGAGTCGTAATTTGATTCCATAGCTACATCAGAAGATCACAAGTGAATGATGAAAAGCCTTGCAATAAGTGATTTACTTAAATCTGTGCAAGGAAATGTATATAGTTACGAATATTTTAAATAAAACACTTTAACGGTTTAAAACGCGATATATATTATATAAAATTATTTGAAAATTATGTCGGGCCGTAGTTAAAATTATTTTGTGTACTACTCGCGTAAACTACAGATAGTATTTAGTTACGAATAATTAAATATCTTGAAATTAAAAAATTATTTCGATTTAAAAAAAAAATCACGACAAGAAGGGCGTGACTTGAAACGGCATTCACAGCGTACTAAGTAATTGAGCTACCGTATTCTACACATTAACGAATTTCGAGCGATTGTTACACGATGAAATGAAAATGATGTAAAATTAACACACGATCACGATAGAAACCGTTAAATCTGTTTTATATAATATAAAATTAATGTTATACTCACCATTAGAAGAGTTATCGTAAACAACACTTCAAAGTTCGCCATTTTGGAGTTGTCGACACTGTTATATCAACTCTTAACAAATAAACAGGTTTATTCGTAAAGAACTGTTTCTTTATTACATCAAGATGTTAATATCCTGTAACATCTGTGAAAACTGTATTGAGGATGTTAATAAGGTTGTAAATTATATGTTGAAATGTGAATTAGTAGCTGGATGGTAGAATTACGATTATTTTAGGTATCCTAAGTTATAAGAGATGTTTTAGGATAAAAGGGGTTTGTACTATAGAATGACCGCCTCTGTAGTCAAATGTCTAAACTTATTGCCTAGCATTGCGTTATGCGCGAGAGGTCCTTCGAATCCCAGGGAACAAAAAAAGTTGTTCCGGGTAGGGCAAAGAAGTCTGATCAACGACTTCCCTGTTAAAAAGAACGGATCAGTGAAACGGGCACAGAAATGTATTCGCCCCATGCCTCACGAGGGGGAAACGGGATTTTACACTATAGAATGTTTATTTTGAAAATGAAAACATATTTCTAAATCAGCCGAGTCGTTTAGACGCTTTGAAGACTTATATCGAGCATAAAAACAGTCGCTTTATATATTGGTCGGGCTCGGCTAACGGTAGCAATGTACCTATGTCCTATAGCTAATCCAAGTGTCGCGCGTTCGATTCCTATGTTTCTAATAAATATGAAATATTGAAAAGTCATGAACAACAGTTTACTGATACTGGCTGTGAAGTTTAATCGCCTTTCAGTCTGTGGATTTCCTTTATATTAAATACAAAATAGATCGCTAGCACATCGTATTACATGTTATATGGCGGAGTATTTCACCATCGAGTGACCACTATGTTTGTCTGTCTTTGTCTATCATAAAAAAAATTTAAAATAGATATTAGTTAGTATATTAAGAAATGTCATAGGTCACTTATCTCTTTGATTTTATTAAGACGAAATTAAATTAAGCTATTTTGAGGCCGTATAACTTTAGAGAAAAGGTAGAGATTAAAGTATCGATTACGTATCGATAAAATGAATCGTGAAATAAGAATACTTATCGATAACGTCCAAGTTTACGATTTCTTAATAGCTTAGATAACCTTAATACCATTATGATCAAATCGCTTGGAATGTGGAAACACGCCTTTTTAATACTCGCGAATTTCATATCAATGTTAAATAAAACAGTTTTAAAGATTTGAAATACGATTTATATCATTAAAATAATTTTAACGACGACACGAAGTTTCAGGTGCTGTGTAGCCGTGAATACGACTACCCGGTGAGAGTGTTTTATAAAATTCATATAAATGAAAAATCAGATTTTAATTTTAGAAATGAGATGGATATCATTAAGCACATGTTTCGTATGTTGAGTGTGAAATTGTAATAAGTTTAACTGACATAGTTCGCGTTTTAAACCGTTAAAAATGTTTTTTTATAGTAAGAATATGTTATAGGAATTTTTGAATTACGCATTAGATGAGTCAAACGTTCGCACACACGGTTACCGCAAAGTGCATAGACCTTCTTATCAGCCAATGTCGATATCAAACATAATTTATTTTTAGATTTTGCGATAGCTTACCTAATATAAGACATATTAATGTTTATACAAAGTTACTATCTAAAAGATACCAGACTTTTTCGTAAATACGTAAAGTGCCCTGTCCTGTCGCTCTTTTGTGTCAGTGTAAAAACCTCGATTTTTAGTATAAAGAAGCTCGTTACTCTAATGTGTTGCCATTAATAATCAACAGTCTCTAATAAATTTATATTTTTTTTCAAAACGCGTTAAATTTCGTCTGGAAATTCTCGAAGGGTCAAGGTCCACCACTGCAAGCCACCGCCGCAAAATGCTGTACAATTAATTCGCGTTTCCGTTACAGTCTGGAGTATTCAAAGCCAAAATAGATTTCCAGCGCGACTTGTTTAAATGCCTAAACCTTCAACAGTGAACCTTATGCCTTTCTGTCTTCTTCTGTCACAAAAAGACACATAAATGTGCTCAATATAGGGGAAACGGAATTTCGCTTCTGTGTTTTCACAATTCAGTAGATTAGATCTTTTGAATGTATGTTAATAAAACATAGCGAGTAAATATGGCTGATAGCGGTTACTTTAGAGATACAAATAGAACTGTGAATATTTTTCTATTTGCTGCATGAGCTCATTATTTCGCTGAAGTATACTTTGCCTCTGCGGAATTGTAGCTTAATATGCATATTTTTAATTTACGTTAACAATTAAGTTAGCAAATACAGTCTGTTGAATATTTTAAATTACCTAGATCGCAAATATACGACGACTTAGTAATTTATTCTTTATTGCGTTGCTATCCAGGCTTGCATAGAAAGAAAGGGCGCAATTAACAGATCGTAGGTTCGATTTTTATCGAATCAGGAGTGTTTTGAAATCAATTATAATTATCAATACAGATGTTAGGCTGCATCTGGAAAATCCAGATATTATTTTCCGAATATCCAGTCGATAATGCATCTTGATCTGGTGTTAAATGACTGGCTGTATCTACTTTACTTATATTTTTAGTTTTAATATGATTTAGTAGACGTAAATAAATAAATTAAAATAGATAAATTATATTTGAGAAACACAGATTCAGTAATGTTTGTCGTTTACACGACAAATGCACAAATAAAACGCCGAGCTTTAGTTACATTAAAAATAACTTAATGAATAAATTTCCCGGCGTAAACCGTTAAAAGTATTTTATTTAAGTAGTTACATATTGATTATTATATCACCTTAAGACCGATAAAATAGTTCCTATACGTTGAAAAACAAAACCGCGACTAGAGAGCTAATTTTCATCCAAAAGCCTGTAGTTTACAAACTCCTAATTGGTAAATAGATTGACTCGGTTATCAAACCCAGTTAATTTTATTAGAACTTTTATTTATCAAGAAATTCTCAATGAGAATTTTAAACCGTGCTAAACAAAGGGATTTCCCAATACGCTAACTCAAACTGAGGCTTATTGGCTAGAAATCAACTCCAAGTTATGGAAATAGCAATTTTTCATCTGTAAATAATCTCGTCTAGAAGTTTAGTGGTGAAGACTTGACTCACGAGAGTTCAACTCTCGACTCGAGAAAACTTCTATCTAGAAGTTTGGGAGTATGTGTCGCCATTGTCTCAATAAGAACTAAGCTATCGATCTGGATTACATTTAGTGACGGTAGTTATTTAAATGTGAAAACCGTGAACCGTGTGGTGGACATAGAAGACTATACCTTACTTATAGATAGCGTTAGTTTTAACATTTTAAATATGTTGGTATGGCCACAGGGTGCAGAGTGAAAAACAGCACTATGCGATCCCCTACGTTCAGTATTCAGCTGAGTTTGCATCCCAACGTGCCACAAAAAATTTTAGCTTGCGTAAGTTCATGCTATATTTTTTTTTCAAGCAATAAACAGATATTTCTTTCTTTCTTCCAAAAAACTTGTCCCCAACTGTGACATTAATAGATTAAAGGAATCTATAGATAATCTAAAACATAGATTTAATGTTGGCGTATACAAGGTCGAGTTACAGTGAAAAATAACTCTCATAACATCTTCAAATAGACCGGTAAATTGATTTCAAATTTTATTAAGGAACTGCTGTTACTTTTGCGTCACGGAAGTATTTTTAGTGAGCCTTGCGCCTTACAATTTGTGTAATAAAATTACATGTTTAGCTGTTTCTAGTTTGCTTTGACATTGAACTATGTTATATCTTTGACAGACTCGCAATTCTTATGATAGTAGAGTTTGGCAAGGATATTGAACTTGTGTCAAGCAGACAATAACAATAACTTAGCTAAAGAGTTTGTTTGTTTGTTTGTTCGTTGAACGCGCTAATCTCAGAAATTACTCCTTCGAATTGAAGAACTCTTTATGTTTTTTATGACTTCCGTTGCATGTCCATAAAAAATTTCCCTTCTTTAAATTATGTAAAAATATGAAAGCGACAGTGTTTGTCTATCTTTTAAGATTAACTCACAGGAACTAACAGCGACTAAACGCGGCCGACGTCGTGGGTAAGAGCTATATTTCAAAAAAGGCGGTTGTTTGTAAAAATAAATATGATGTCCAAAATAAGGATGTCGCTGGCTTAGCTAGTCTTTTTTATAAAAAGGTTTGAAAAGACACACTTTTGGGTTTGTTTTATTGATAGCTTTATATAAAGATTAGTCTTAATCAGACATACGTGTACTAGATGTCCAAAAATGTTTCCTCAGAACAATAACTCACTCTGATAAGCATTACACTTAACCAATGAACTATAAAAGCGGTCTAAAATTAAGGGTTTAAAAAATTTTGTTTTCCAGTTTTCATAAAATACCTGGCATGAAATATAAAAACTAATAGATAGTATTACATAGTGATTTATCAAATAATCATTTAATAGTAATTTCAATTAATTAAATTATCATTATTATATTGAATAATATTAGGACAACGAAGTTATTTAAATAAACCAAGTATCATTATTACCGGGTTTCCCCGTGGCCACGGCTGCTGCAAAGCATCCGAAACATTGGGCCGAAGTTAAAAATCATTTCAAAAAGTTTAACTAAGATTTTTTAAACCGTTAAAGTGTTTTATTTAAATGTGTACTACTCGCGTAACTATAGACATATTTACCAAGTATATTTTTAAAATTGGTTTGTTGTATAAGACGATTATTGGATAGTTTACATGTTGAATATTGAATTTTTACATATTATCAATATGACGGCTTGGAATGGAACGCCATTGTGGTCTCGGGTTTGATTACCATCTATAGCATCGATGTTTCATTTGTTTTCGATTGTGTATTAACATCTGCTTGACTAACTACTAATAATTTTCTTAGTACTAAACTTATTATAGTTTTAGTGTTACCCTTATTATAAACTATTATTGTAAATCTCCATCTTCAAGGTTGCTTGGAAGAAATCGCTTTTTAGCGATAAGGCCGCCGTTTCTCGCTACGTTTTATCGTAATTTCTTCAAATTAAATTTATTTTTGTATTATTCTTGATGTGG